GTAGCTTATGTTAATTGGATATCATATTAGTTAGAAGTTCACAAAAGAACTATTATTCAGTTTTAAGGCCCACCTATTAGTACACTTTATAATTCAAAATACAAAAATCAAAGAACATAAATATTGACAAGTATTTTCAGAATTGACAATAATGCAAATGAAATGACAGTAAAATATAATGTTGATTTCACAAAATACTGGGAATGAAATGTTTAATATTTCAGTAGAATAATCAATTACACTTAACTGTCATTGAATGACAAATAAGGAGAAAGTATTAACAATAAGGACACTCAGACTATATAAGAAGAAAGAATTGGATGTCGTTATAGAACACGATAAACCATCAACAAACATAATGCATGTAAGTCCACAGTTAACTATGTGTACACAGAACTAACTTGATAACTGACACGATTCGAATGTACTTCTTCACAATCTTCTTCTCATACTTGTAAATGATGCCTGTATATTTTCCATTTCATTCACTTGTCATCCGAATTTATTTCATCATAATAATGCCTCAGTGTGGTGACACACAAATTACTACACCATCCATCACTATTACAATTTATCATGTTCTTGCCACCATTATCACACAATCTATCCCTATTCACATTTCATTTCAGGTCCAATATCTGTTTGTTATTTTCTTGATAACTCTGAATGTGATTTTATCCCAAGCCGCAACAGGTGAGTGATAAATAATACTGTTTTATTAAAAATGGTGAGAATGGAGAGTATAAGTACAAAAAGGTGTCTCGCTGGTACTCATATGGCAGACACTTTGTATTCAGTATGTATTTCAATGTTGAATGAGAAATAAGGTTTCTCCAACTAATCTTTAAGATTTCGATGAATTATTTCAAATATATGTCTGTCAAGCGACCGTGAATTGATTTTCGTGGTTCATCATTAATTTGCATTCGTTTACTTCAACTTGTTAACTCATGTATGCAAACAAACATCTAAAATGAATCATTTGTTTCGGATAATTAAAGAGACAATGCGATGCAATAGTTATTGTGTGATCGGTTATTGTGTTAAAAATCCTGTATGTTGACATTAAATAATCAAGAATTTGGAAGAACTCCTCATAGTGTAATTAGTAAATTGCAAAGTTATCTTCAAGATAATGGTAGTTCCACTATTTTCAGTTGTTTTATCTACTTGGTAAGTATCAAAACATCATGCTGGAGGTTATTTTCAGTTGAAATATTTCATTTTTGTACAGTCCTTCTAAAACACTATTCATCAATGTTTCTTTATTTAATCCCAAATGAATCTCTCCCTACGATACATGTTATATTCTCCTAATCTTTTCATTTGCTGAAATGTAGCAAGATTGGTTCAATCATGAATATCATACACTTGAATCGTATTATTGTTTCAATAACTTCTTATTTTGTATACCTCGAAAAATAGATATACATTTAGCATAAACACATCGTCAAGTATTTCACTCAAAATTTGACTATCAACAATAATTGTTGTAGGTTATTTTTTATTTAGTTGATCAATTTAGCTCTTTTTTTATATGAGAAATTCTGTTTTCCACATAATTCAGGTCCTTCTGAAGATGAAGTAGTAGAAAAATTTGAAGAAATTAAAGCAACAAAAGAATTTCAAAAAGCTAAAGAAAAAGTTATAGAATCATTATCAGATAGAATTGATAAATATGTTCTGGACCATTTTCGTAAAAATCAATAAACCTACTCAAAGGCAATTGAATAATAATAATAATAATTAATATCTTGTGTTTTAATGATAACATTAATATTAATTCATCTTTTAAAATAAACAAATAACCGTTTGTTTATTTGTTTGCTTTTTGAGTAATTAAAACAAAAATTTGATTTTAATAAATGATATTTAAATGTTACACCATTATTGTTGTTGGAAATTATTCAAATATGGGCATGTGTTTCATTTTATTTAAGTTTCATTTACCTGATATTGTAGTGAATAGAACACGAATGGGAACAATCGACTTATATTTATTACAACATAACAAAGTTACTTGGTAAAATAGAAAAACCATACGATAATACTTAATTTGCAAAATGTTCAATAATTTTGTCAAACTTCGTTGTTCTTGCATTTCCATAATAATTGTTTTCTATTCCTGCTCTTCCTTTCCTCATCTTCCCCATTTTCTGCTACCAGACATTACATTCCCGACTCGCGTCATATACTACTTATGTCGATATAAGTAGCACGCACCACAATATAACTGAACTATTCAATTTATTAATATCTTTTGGATTATATTTAACAATAGGAAATAAACAGTTGATTAGTCTCTTATTGAAATAATCAAGGATTTTTATTTATATCAAGTGTCAAATTATAGAAATACGAATTTACAATGGTATTTATTTATAAATATCTTCTGATAATTAGAACATTTTGGTTGTATTGGATATGGAATTAGAATTTTTGACAATTGATCAATTCCATTGATTTGATAAAAACTAATAACTTGTTTTATTCAAACGTTTGAGATTTGTGACAAATCTTAATTGAATGACTCGTGGATTCAAGCTAACTAAAAAGTGGATTGGTTAAAGTTAGACATTAACGCCGTTGGATACCGGCTCAGTGGTCTAGAATTTAAGAGTTCGCGCGCGAGAATGATAGATCCTGGGTTCGAATCTCTCAAGGTGTAATCATGGGTGCGCACTATTGAGGAGTCCTATACTAGAACAAAGCGGCCATCCAGTGCTTTCAGGTTTTTTATAGTGGTCTAGCTTCAACTATTAAATGACAAGAAAACTGTCAGTAGGATTTAATGCGATTAGCTCTAACCATATCCATATTTTCCTTTGTAAAAAAGATCATCTATTCTGAATAAGTAGTGAACCTCAGAAAATTATGTGTAATCAATCACTTTTTGGGTAAGAAGTTTCAAATCTACAATCACTTTACTTCAGTTACGTCAAATAATTGTACATGAAGCTGGTTGTATAATAAAAAACACTTAACAAAATGATATTAAACTCTACATATAAATTGAAATAAACAGAAAAAATGATTTTACAATGCTTGATAAATGCCAACAAAACTCCAAAAACTAGGTTATTCACAGTGTAACTTGTATAAATAACAAGCTAATTGTACTACTTTCCACTTGCGATCACTTTTTGTCATTAATCTCAAACTGTATCTTTATAGTAACAATTTTTCGTTGTGTTTCAACACATTGTATGATGAATTTTTGCTGTTATAATAACCACTTCCTTATTTTCAAATAAATTACTTGACCCTTTACAACCTAGATTTGTTTACATATTTGATGTTTTTGTCTAAGAATCTACATAAATGCTTATTCGTGAAGATTTTTTAATACCCTTGTATTTTGTTATAATTCTCCTGAACATCAGTCTTAAATATATTATGTCCCTAAATTTCATGTTTCTTACGTATCTATTAACCCTAAGTCCATAATCCTTGATGGCTATTTTCCAATTAGCCGTTTTTGTCTAAGTTTATTCAATTTTACAGACATTTTCAGAAACTTACTTTTCAATCAATATGACTAATGACACTGATAAGCATTAGATTCGAGATTTACTACACCCACATAATATTACATTTGAAGAGGTAAAATAGCAATGTAATGGTTTATCACTTTAAAAATCCCATCTGTATATCACTCTTAGGTCGTCTAATATAATACAGGATGTTGATAATAAGAATCATTATATATCTTCTGAAATAGTTCTTTATTGCATAACTGTGAATAGTTGTATTAAAGTACTATCTCAAATCAAACTGTCTGATATTAGTTATTGAGATTTGTTAACTGGCTGCTGGCTAAATAACGAAATTAGGAATCTTAATTTATCAGATTTTCAAATCACATTGTTTTTATCTTTGATTCTAATATTAAAATGTAAAAGATTATCTGCATAACGTAAGCGCATGATTTGATTTATTAATGTAATTCAGAGCTTACACATAGCTCACTTTCCAGTTTGCCAACAGAAGAAATTTGTATTCCCATGATAGTTGTGTTCTTTTATTGAAATTCGAATCTAACACTCGCCATTTCAAATGCAAAAAATTAATCCACTTGCCTGATGGAATTACTACGGCTACATATTTTTTAAAAATAGACATTATTTATTTATGATTTCTCTATGGCATCAATTTATTAGACCCTTTGTTGGGATATTCAGAAAAATATCCCAGAAATTATCCTGTTAAGTCTAATGCTATCTTTGAACGTGAAATGGTGTCATTTCCTGTTGGTCAATATTCGCGGTAGTCCTAACCGTATAAATATACATTTGTCTGTAAAGTGTTATTCCTATTCTTATTCTTGTTTTGACCCCATAAAAAATTTCATCTATGGTTCGTGTTCTGATATAATGGAGATTGGTGAACAGTATTGGGGCCGTACTGCAATATCTGAAGTTGGTCAGTCGGTAAAAATTAGAGTAGCCACCCCGCGGTTCACAATACCCTTATACCAATAAAAGTAATTGGTTTTCCATTGAAAAAGGTCAACAATAAACAATTGGAAATCATGTTTACATTATATATTGTTTCAATAAGTATTAGCTTTACTAATTCAATTAACATGTTTATTTCATTATGGTCCTATGAAGAAATAACTATTATAATCATAGAGTAGTTTTTTTGGAGGTTGTAGTAATTTAATAATTAAATTCATGAATCAATTAAAGCTAGATCATCATGAAAAACCTGAAAGCACTAAATAACTGTTTCATCTTAGTACTGAACTCCTCAATGTAAATCAAATTACTGATACTTTTCTATGTGAACATTACGAAAAACTCCATAGAAACAAAGAATTTTGTTTGTTTTTGTTTTGTTTTAAATTTTATTTACTAATTAAACCAATCCTAATTTCTTTTTTATTATGATACTACAAAATATTCCTGTAAATATTAAACAGAATAAAATAATAAGATAAGATAAGATAAGAAAAAAAAGAAAAAGATTGTTTATTGTCTAATAAAAACAAACGATTTGTTTATTCATTTATTATTTTTTTTCAAATCATTCATTGAAACAATAAATTATGGTTTTTTTCTTATTTGATCCAATACATAATTGTCAATTTTATCTGATAATGCATTTATCACTTTTGTTCTGACCTGTTGATATTGTGGTGTTTTTTTAATTTGTTCTAATTCCATTTTCTCAATTTGATGTTTACCTAATTAATGTAAATAAATTAAATTTTTTTATAGGGGTGAAGATATTATCCAGAATAATAAACAAAAACTCCACTAATAAATTATGTAATATAGAGTACAGAATAATAACGAAAACATTTATCTGTACCTTAGATAGTGTCTATTATTTATATCAAATAAACGTTCATAGGTGAATCAATCTAATATGGTTATTGAGTTGCATGAAGTTAGGGGGGGGTGAAGATATTATCCAGAATAATAAACAAAAACTACACTAATAAATTATGTAATATAGAGTATAAAATGCTTTCCGAAAACATTCACCTGTACCTTAGATAGTGTCTATTATTTATATCAAATAAACGTTCATAGGTGAATCAATCTAATATGGTTATTAATTTCGGTGATATGATAGATTATTGAGATGAAAAATAGGGCATTTCTCCTATTTTATTTCCTTAAGAATGTTATAATTATTCAGTTGAATATGAAATTTGTAATCTTTTTTCTATCGAGAAATCACTGGTGTTCATTGATAAATATCATATAACTAATTAATTATAGTTAAACATCTTCATTTTGTTATGAACAATAATTAATGTATACATTTAGTGTTTGCCTTCTTCAAATGTTCATTTACCTTTAAAATACAATATTACTAATAATCTAGAGATATATTATTGTTTTTTAAGTTAGTTCAAAACTTTCTATGATAAATATACTCAAGCTTTCCACAATGATTATTTACAGAGGTCCCTCGTTTCGAGTATAAGTGATAAACGTTCTCGATATAACAATCAGAGACGACCAGATACAAAAAGTAGCATTAAAAGAGCCAAGATAATAAGTATTCAAACGACAAAGTAAAGTAAATGAAAATGTCTTAAATGATATAAGATTTAAAAGTCAATTACTTTAAATTGTAGAAATATAACATAAGATTGAAATGAAATCCATTCCCTATGATTATGAAAATATAGTTATATTTCAATATCATTTAAATTAGCATTATCCTTTTGCAACCTAATACATTAAAATATTAAAACATTATCTTAGTTTAACAATTAATTATCAGTCTTTAGGCATTTAATATTACAAATTGACTGAAATTAATAAGTATACTATTTTGAATTTACAAAGTATATTCAGAGAGTAGTCAGACAAAAGTGGACTCATTGAGATAATATTATATAATAAAAGTTAGAAATTACTAAACAATACTGAATATAACAAACTGCCACTTAGTGCTACTTACCTTGTGACGTCTGTGAACAAATCACATTTATGGTAATTAAAAAAACTGCGAGTAAAAATTTAATCTAAAATTAAACATAACAAAAAACAAGTAATATGTTCAGTATGAGAACATGAAAAAGAATTTTGATACTCATAAATAATATAATAAGTTTGTTATTATAGTTTAGCAATATGTACTATGTTGTAGCGAACGGTACTGGGTTTTAGTATCAAAGTGAATATCAGCTCTGATATTCAAGTATATCCATTTCATAAGTTCCAAATAGGATGAAACACGCTTCCTGAATTTCACCACTAACGATCATCCACTTCTACTTATAACATCTACCAAGATTTGTAAACTATCTAGTCTGTGAGGGATAATATTTTATGTTATGAGCAGAACACAAGCAAAATGTACTGGAACAAGAACTACAACACGTGAGTATGGTAAGCATCTATTATATCAAAGGATAAATCAAGAAGTTTGTGCGACACATGTGTATTAAATCATGAAAAGAGAAGTATTATAAATCTCGAGAAAGGTAATACTCTACTCTAGTGTATATAATATTGATATTATTAGTCATAAACTTACATGCATCGTAGTTTTGAACTGAATTTGTGTTCCGTAATTACCTATAATACTTTCTCTTTATATAGTCCGAAAAAACTACATTCCTTATATTTTCCTCTTGGTTGATTGTTTAATGACATTTTCTTATAACGAATAATATTTTAGAAATCGACATAAAATACTTCTCTTTTTCCAGTCGGCTATTATTTTGACAATAACAATATATTGACATTTTATTTGTATTGTAAATATTTAGTTATTGCGTTAACTTTGATCTTTTAATTGTGTATTCATAGTAAATTAATAACAATACATGGAAATGAACATAAATTATTGAATGACCCTTTGTTTCACCTATGTTATTCTCTTTTGTAAATCATTAGAACAAAACAGTATATATTATTTATGTAAACAGGAGTGGCTAATAGTTTGTTTTTATCGACTATTGTTATATTTGCGAAAATTATTATCGTTATATGTTTTTTGTTCAAATACTTGTCATATAAACTAACGAATTAATTATTTTGACTTTTATACACTTAATGGAGAGATATGATTTTTGTTGAAAAACCTATTCTAACTGTAGAATATACTTAAACAAAACTAAAGTTCATTCCACTTTATTGTTCAGTTAGACCTAATTTAATATCAGTCCATCCTTAATAGTGTCATCTTTTCAGTAAAATATCTGCATAATTAATTCATTCAGATTACTATAGAAACAATCAAAATATGGAGGTAAAAATTAATTGAAATTAATGGAAATTTTCGAAAGATTCATATGAAATTAACTACGGTTAGTTAAGGTTAACATGGGACTTTTTCTCTAGTTTTCGTATTTATTTCCTTGAATATAACATTAAATTCCGACTAAATTAAACGTATAACACTTTAGTACGACTAATAGTTGGCCAACAATTAGTAGAAATATCTTGCTATTCAAATATCACGACTTTCGTATGCAAATGTACTCATTGTTTCTAGTGTCAGATCATCTATAGGGCAGGTCAAGTTAATGATAATATTATGGCATACTATTTGCAATTTTTGTTTCTTTTTTTCAAAATATTCAATCTTTCTGATTATAAATCATCACTTAGCTATTCACTCAAACTTTTTTCAGGCAGGAATTTACATGAGTAAATCCTTACTTTGCAAAACTGAAAATTTGTAGTTCAAGAGCAGAATTGTGAATCATATAAATCATAAATTATGATATTCGTGCAAACATGAGTGACTATTAAACGTAATAATACGTGCCTCTACTCAGTTCTTACTGCTACATAGTGTGTTGAACAAGAACACAGGTGGGGATAACCAGTGAATTTAAATATACAATTACAGAGTTCTTTCATCAGATGTGAAAACCATACATTCATTGCTTCATTTGCAAATCCTCCATCAGTTGTCCTAAACTTCATCGTTCCTTTATTGCCATAACAATTACTCTGTTCCCGTTCTCTTTGATTCGATCGTTTCAACCTTCTACTGTCAGGTTTCCCACTTTCTGTTGACGTTCCATACTACTTATGTTTGTCGACATAAGTAGCATACACTACAATAGGATTTTTTGGTGAGATTATATGCGCTATTTACAGAGAAAAACACTTTCATAAAACGATAATTCAGAATCACATAAATATTTCACCACAATGAAACTGCTACAACATTGCACACTTTTTCTGTGTACAAATATTTATTATATATTCTCTTGTAAAGGTAGTGCTAGGCATTCGGAGAAGAATTTTAATTCACTGTCTTAATCTACTACAAAGAAGTTTGTTTCTTCACCAAATTATTTCACCATTTTATACGAAATAGATGAATGCATAGTACCGGACACAGGACAACGGTCAATAAGCAAAACATGACGACCGAGGCAACTTTGATTTCTGGAAAAATGAGTTACTGAGTGGTAATTCTCGAATGCTCTTTATTCTCCTCATATTTGTTTCATAAATTTACATTTTTTCCAAACTTTCACCTTCTTAGTTTGAGATAGTCAAATTTTCAAGAAACAACTCTTCTAATGCAATATGAATGCCTTTATGATTTTCTTAAAAGAAACGTTTCTCAGTATAATTAACTGATCACAGGTTTTTGCATCTCATTCTGTACATGAAAACTACTGATATTTGAAATAATTAAGTTAATGGTTTGTTTAGCTTGTATAGAGTACCACATAAAAATACCTTTAGAACAAAAAATTCGAATTGGGAACTGTTTCCTGAACATTAAAAATATAGAAAACTAATCTTATTGATCAACAAAAATATTATTAAAATTAAGATTGAAGTAGTCCGCAATGCGACTAGCAGTCTATTTAACTATAGAATTGATGATAAAATCCAAAAATTCTGGAAGTAGAATTCGGGAGGAACAAAAGTTTTTAAATGTAATCTACAAAAATATAATATACAATTGTAACACGTGTAATCAGCAGTCACTGACAGGCGGGAAAGACCTGAAACCAAAACACACAATGTTAACCGAGCACTTCACACCAAGAGAGAGAACACACAATGAAGCCATCAGTCGTTTATTTTGAAAATTAAAATCCGCGGGTTATGTACAGAAGGGAGAGCTAGTTTACAAAACAGTCTTATGAGTCATCCTGTAGGTTCAGTGTATGCAGAGCTTGCTCTTTTTCTTCTAAAGCATTTATTCTTGATTGCCCTGCAATAGAAAGAAAAACAGAATCTATTAACAACACCACACATGATGATTTTTAACCCCGTTACAGAATTAACATTAAAAAATGAGAGCTCATCAATTGTAACTATACGTACAAACACTGAATACTGATCGGGTTACGGCCTCATTATCTGATGTGAAACCTTACACAGGATCGATTATATATGCGAAAGTAAATGTAACTTTGACCCAGCCTGATATACCAATGGCATTTACACGTAAATTACTTCCAAGCCTTCTTTTTGATTATTTTTCTTTTCATTCATCACTCTTGATGCCTACATTATCAATGTTTTCAACTTTCCAGAATGATTTCAGAATAAGTCGTGTTTCAGCTTTCATCAACGCCATACTTAATTGACTCAAGTAATCAGTCTTCAGTTTCACGAGCGTATATTAGACCCTAAATTTCATTATAGTCCTTTCTTTATATTTATCAGAAATCAACAAAGATAGTGCTTTTACTTGATCATGACTCCATGGTTAACCATAGTTGTTTAAAAATAATTATACTTCTCTTGATTTTTTCTTTCATACTCATTTTGAAAGTGGACACGCATATGCTATGTAAATATATCCAAGGTATCCACTACATACCGTGCTTTTCATGAGATCTGGGTGTCTTTACAATCCACTCAACAACTAGTAAAAATAAAAGAGCTGTCAGTAAGCAGCCTTGTTTTCCATCTGTCATCACTTCAAATGTGCCTGTAGGCCGCCATTTATGCGTGAAATTTCAGTCGAGTTCGTCATAGGGGTTTCGTGTGAGGTTGATGAACTAATCAGGTACTCCGTAGTGACGAGGAAGATTTTGGGGATGATTAAAATAAAATCGATTTGTAAAGACGTTTTTTCCTCATTTTTAACTTTTCATGATCCTTCTCAACTTATAAAAACACCTAAGTGATCAAAGAATTTTGTTTAAGTTGACTTTCTACTCACTTCTCTCATATGTTACTAATTACCATGTGCTAAATATGTGGAGATATGCCTGACAAGCTAATTTTGTAAATAGTTTTTTGATGTTATTCGTCAATTTTTCACTGCATGTACATTTATCATTAAATGATTGTACGTGTTGTTTAAGTGAATAACCTTGAACACTTCCTTCTGTTGTGTTGCATTCATAGCACGACACACTCCGTTAACCGCTAACAAATAAACTGTTGCACATATACCTCTCGTTCTCCATTCGCTTGTGATTGTGTTAACTGAAATCTAAATCAAATACTGTCTACATCTATAGACTGTAGTCGGAATATATCATAATCTACGTTGGATTATACTACTGAGAGTTCATCAATCTTACTGGAATCTTCAATCATCTATAATTGTGGATTTTTCGTACCAGACTCAATTAGAACACGCGCAAACCTGGTGAATTAAGTAACGTCTCTAATTTTTGTTGTGTTTATAACATTTAACTGATTTATATTAACATTACTATTTGTACTTAATAACTCTGTTATCATTTTTTAGTTCATATATTGATTGATCTACCACAAATACACAGTTTCACATACACACATCATTCCGACCTTGTTGGTTGCGATTTTTCAACCGTTTACCAACAACTCTGTTTCAAAGTTTTAGACTCAAATCATGCAGAATATGCGCCATCAATTGAACACGAAAACTTTGGATCTATATCTAACATCCCTTGGAATTATTTCCCCCACATCATCACAATAGTGGATGTATATTTAGACTTATGACCATGCACAATGCTGACAGTAACAAGTAAACCATACATTTTGTATTCATTAGTTTCTGCCTTCTGTTAACGTATTCTTTATATACGTTTTTGAAGTGTTAGCTGGGTAAAAATACTTTCATATTTGTATTAGCCCGCAACAGATTCCATAGGGTTTTTGTAACCCAGACTAATACCGGTCTTCACCTGGCATGAATCTGTAAACTGTCCATTCTCCATCTACAACATTGTAGGGAAATCCGTCTTATGAATTCTCTATAATATTCGCAACCGAAATAAAAAGCTGAAAAAGACATCCATAGCATTTTATTGAACAGTATTGTCATTAACTTGTTTCTTTCCCCTGTCTCGTAGTTTAACCTTTATTCACGTCTCTTTTAACCGCAATTTATATTCTTCAGTCTTCCTCATCCGAACTTTTATAATGCAACTTTGGTTGAAGACCTGCCTCTTGTTACCTAATTTTACTGTTGCATGTTGCCAGACTGTTGACAATAAGGTCGTATTTGACCGAGCTCAAGTTGACGGCGTGATTTGGTGTGTGACCTTCGACTGTCAGTCTGGAAATGTTACTGCAATCCACGTAGATGGACATCTGATCCTATCTTGTCGGTAACATTTTCATTGGTCCTCAGGCATCGGATTCTTGTTTATTAAATTCCTTTTGTGGTCGCACAAGCTAGTCTGTGTTAGCACAGTCGGTACCGTTTTAGGTAATGTGTACCTTTGATACAATTTATTATCTTTCTTAAATCAGAACCGTTCAAATTGAACACGGAGTTTGTGTCTCGATATAATTTAATACGAGTAACTCAAAACGCTTTATACGCTATACAGAAGAACGTAGTCTGACTCAAGCTGATAAATTTTGGTTCGTTGGTCCTGGGTTCCATGAGATATTGACATTTCGGTCATTACCATTACCAACACTTAGGAAAGCAGTAGTTTCAAATGGTTCAAATGGTTGTGGACGGAATAGAATGAGAGGAGAGAGAGACCATTCGGCCAGCAAACAGTCCATTTACATCTCCCTTTAACATGATCCCTAAAAGAACAGCAATGTCTGTTGTTCAACTGGTGACTAACAAATACTGTATGCGGAAACCATTCTTGATCGTTACCTAATACCTCGTATTAACGATATGACAGCTACCGTGAAAGCTACAACTGTTTTTCGACTTGGTTAAGGCACATAACCAAATTCTCATGGCTATAACAAGATTCCTAAGACCACCATCATCCCCCCTTTCGAGCAGTATGGATTTTCACGCATTCGACTTATGAAATGCTGCTCAAACTTTCCAGAGAGTAATCGGCGACATCTTACGAGGTTTCAACTTCGCACACACTTATGTTGGTGACTGCTTGATCTCAAGTCCGGACAGAGAATCTCATCCCGGGCAAGTGGACCTTGTCTTTGAACGACTCGAAAGACACGGTAACATTCGGAAGTGTCGAATCCGCACCGACTCTTTAGATTTTCTCGGATATATTATTGATGATCATGGCATCCGACCACTGGAAAGTAAAGTGGTAGGCATTCTGGATAATTCGGAACCGACAACAGGCAAGCAATTACGCACGCTCAACAGCCTGGTAGGTTTTTATCGAATTGCCGAATAGCGCGTCTCTCATGAGACACTTAGGAGACCAACCTTGTGGAAATAACAAACCTGTTGGTTTGGACGACAGTAAGAAATAAGCGTTCTCCACATCTAAGAAGTCTTTCGCCAAAGCACGATTGTTTACATACCAGGATACCGAAGCACTCATTAGTAGATGTATCCAACTCGACAATCAGAGGAGTCTTACAACGATGGGTAAACGACACCTTGGAATCTTTAGCGTTCTCCTCTGGACGGTCGCAATACACTGAATCGAGGTGTATCACTTACGGTAGGGGACTCCTAGCCATCCGTTGTGCTGTCAGGCACTTTCGACACCCCATGGAATGCCAAAGATTCACATTGTCCACCGACCACAAGTCCCTCACCTTCTGAACTCCACAGTGAGACACAGATAATGAAGCACTTAGGTTGAGACTTTTCTCGAATGAATGGTTAGTCAATACGTTGTAATGTCTATTCATAAGTTAAGACAAAAGCCTCCGGAAAGACCTTTCGCGGACTTTTCGTCTGACCCCAATTAGATCGTTTGCTGATTGTTACTCTAATTGCTACCCTCGTGTATAACTATCTACATGATCCGCGTTAGGGGATAACGGAGTTAAATAAGTTGAGTACGAAAGTAGCTCTTGAATACGTATGTGTCATTCATTCACTGGTTTGAACAAACAATCAGGGTAACGTAACGAATAAGGGACAGCGATGCGGATTATGGAAGGTAGGTCAGTCGATTCCATTTAATCGAGCGTTTTTTCAATATCTATAGCCAGATAAAAAATGAATCACGGACATATGATGAATAGGATAGACAATCAATACACATGCGATCATACAAAAACAGTCAGGTTCAATAAACCAATATGTGGCAAGGTAAAAATTGGCTTGAGAAGAATGAATAGATTGATCTTTCCAGAAACTAGAGCAGCCTATGAGCCCATCAGAGTTTTTGTGAGTGATAATCAATGGTTCATGTTATGTGTGTTCATAAACTAGAACGGAAGGTCGAAAATCGTATTCTTTAAACGACAAGTTTACAGACAATTATGGTAACTGTATAAATTTCAATATTTGACAGAAAACGCCAGAAGTAACAAAAATAATTACAATAATAGTCTACTTTAACTGTCCTCTCACACCTCTGTAGCTTATTCTTGTCCGACTATGAATTTCGAATCTTGCTTTATTAAAAAGAGTTGGCTTAATCACCTTCTACCAACGATTTCCGACTCACATTTCCTTTACATATATATGTATGTGTTTGGATTTTAATAATTCATTTGGCCTTTTAATCAACCCTCAATTCGCCTCTGTGTTCACTCGTTTGTATGCATTAGCTTTTCTGCTTGTAGTTACTTGGCGTGCTTGTGGCTTAAAGATCTGTGCTCTTAGATTGTAAACTTTAGTTGTCATCTTGTATTGTCTTCTGAATTTGTAAACCGTTTGGAGTGATGATATATAAACCTCAAAGAATTATCTGGAAACCAATCCACTACGGCTAACATTGTAGTTTCTGACTAAGAAAGCACCATATGTAATACCATGATTCTTCGTTTAGTAGTACATTCAGTTCACGCGATTGCACTTAACATCATAAATTGATGAGAACGCTCAGAGGCTAATAGTTTTGCTTTTCATAAATGCGACACAGTCGGTATGGAGGAAGGTTTTCCAAGTTCTACATCGTAAATATAAAACAATATGAGTGGCGACAAGCTGCCTAGGCAGTTAAAAACAGAAAAAGAGTGAACGACAACTTTTCTTAATGGAGATGCTTCAAAACTGGAATTTATTCAGATAATTACCCTTGCTATTCTGCGATAATGTGGTGCTTGTATGAACTAATGCTTCGTTTGTAATTGATGACAGTTTGATTTCGAATTCAAAATACGATACGTACGATCGTGCTCATCTACTACTTCCGAGTTAAATTGCGTTGATTCTAGGACTCCTAGTTTGTATAATAATTTAAATACTCCTAATTATCACAAATAACTTTACCAAAACAAAGTTGATGATAGGTAAAACGGGAGTCCAGAGGATAACAAGCAAAAGCACTGACAGGTGATGTGTTCACGTTCATTCGGACGAATTAGTTACTTTTCCTTTAAATTGATATTTGGGATTTCATTTGTGCATGCGTACCATGGTGCATTTCGATCACAAAAATGCCCAGATTTACATTATCAGTGAGTTACAGCAATCAACAGTTCTGAAGATGGAGAAATATGTAAGAACTCTTAATTTTGATCAAACATCCTCTACATTCTGAACGTGAAGTCTTACTACCACTATTCAGGATTTTTTCATGCATTGCAGAAGTCATGTTCTTTATTCTATACGTTACACACCAGAACGATAGCTCCATCAAGAACTTATGGTTTCCGAGGCATACAATAAAGATATGTAGATCATTAAAGTAGATTGTTTGTAACGAACGACTTGGGGCCTACTCAAGTTAGACGGGGATAGTATGACGAACTAGCCAACTTTGAAGTTATACTTCACGGTCAGAACCTAACGTGGATTACCCCTTCGTCGTATCCAGTTTCTATGACTGGTTTGATGACCGTACAACACAAATGACGTTATTACAGAAATATATTAATAAGAGTGGGTACAATAAAAAGTGTGACCACCACTGTATTGGGCAGTCTATGGCATGCGATCAATTGATGTGCGTTGGTTGTCCTTGAAATTGACCAGGATCGGTGAACTGTTTGATATTCAATGACCCGACTGCCGGATGATTTGGCAATAGCACAGTAACCTTTCAATGACCCTAAATTTCCAAAAAGGAGAGTAAGCAATCTGTGACTAGAATACCGCTTTTCCTATTGACGGATTTATAACTTAAACGTCTTACGCTCTGTAATTGGTAATAGACTCATCGATAATAAACTGAATCTTCAAAGAAACATTTGCTGTAGGGATCAACGAAGTGCATCTGATATACTATTACAGTTCCTGATGTCTAAAGCCTAATTGCCGTGAGAGCCGACAAAGGACGCATTGTGCAACTCGACCAGGTGTCTGAAAATGCTATGAGTAAACCCTGTGATAAGATGCTAATATTTAGTGGTTCGCGCCAGCGTTCAGGTTATACCCTGAGGGAGAGCTTGATTGAAGAAAAAAGAGACGACTCGCTAAGCTGAAAGAATGCACTTACACTCACTGATGAAAGCATTCGAAAGCAGTAAGAAAAAAACAAAAGTGCAATATCAGGACTATTCGAAAATCGAAACTGAGAGTTCACGAGATACAACTTCGAATGCGTTACGATGATCCTATCATTTCCAAGGTCAGGCGTTTGCGAGGTCGGTAAACTTGCGTAAGTTTCCTAGCTATATTACTTTTTACCATAATATTTGCTTAGCCAATTCTTACCTTATAAAAGTAAGACAGTCTGAATGCTACCAACTAAGTTTCAACAGTGCATCATGTTTTCACATTACATAAGTATACTTATGTAATACAAAACCTACCAGTCATTTGATTTATATAAACCCCGAGGGAAACTATTTCACCCGAAGGTAATTCAAGACGGTCAGTATTTTGGTTGTTTATCAAGTATTTTTGCAGCAAAATTTAGACGACTGAAGATGGGTGAGATGTAAAACACAGGTTTTTCTGGATTTTCGAAAACTCAACGATTTCAAGGATTAGTTGTATGAGTTAATTTTATCCCCATACGTTCTTATGGCTCGTACACGTGAACTTTTACTACACGTTCAGTAAATATTAGGATCTTCTACTTAGTAGTCTAATTATTTGAGGATCTCGGCCTGGCCATGGCCTGCAGGCCAAGAGACGTTCTGCAGAAGTAGAAATAAATGAGCGCTACCGAAACGGTGAAAATATCTCATACCTAAGGACTTTCAAATTGTAAAGGTTCGAAGCAAAACGACCCCCAAACAACTCTAGTTGCTAAGAAAAAGTTCTCCACAGAATTAAAGGTGTGCTACACAAATGCTCTCAGCGTACAAAATAAAATGGCAGACCTCAGTACTATGGCGGATATAGAGAACCCGGATGTCATTGCTGTCTTAAGAACATGGTTAACGTCAGAAGTGTTTGACAATGAAATTCAGTTGATTGTTTTTTTATCCAGTAGGGCTGATAAAACAAACTTAGCAGTGGTGGGGTTATCCTGTACACGAAAAGTACCTTAACCATACGAGCTGTTGAGTCGGGGGCACATGTCAACTGGTGCGCTGCAGGTTGAAGTGTAAACGGCAAGATATTTCATTAGTTGTAATATACCTCAGTCCAAAATGTGCAGATGACTTCCTCTTAAGCAAACTTAAGTTCTGGTGTAATAGGGGTAAAAATCTTTACAGTATGCAACTTTAATGCACCATATATAAAATGAGTAGATTTAGAAGTAGGGTTATCAACAACATCATTTGATTGCAAATTGTTAGAAACCACAATTGGACTAGCTTTATTCCATCACATTGGAGATCCCACCAGCTCCTCGTCTCTCTTGAACTTAGTCTTCACACACAGTGCTGACGTTAGCCGAATGACTCAACTCCCACCTCTAGGAAGAGGTGATTATGCAGTTATCTTATTCAAGTTCATGGCTGAGATGGCTTGTTAATCAGTCGCGCCAGCCCGTCCTAAAATATGGAAGGCAAACATAGGCGACATCGGTTGAAAACTGGATCAGTAGAAGAGGCGTAGACTCATTTCAGGCAGTTATACAATCGGGTAACTCAACCACACATACCCTGAACAGTCTTAAAGAAGAATAATTACAACCATCAACGGATAGGTTGTGATATTCGACGTTTAATAAGACAAAAGAAGAAATGTTGGAACGTTGCCATTAGATTTGACACAGAAAGTACGACAGAACGCCGCTACAGGTCGGTAAGAAATAAGTGTCTAACTAAAATCGGGAAGCTCAGGAAAAATATGAAACGCAATTAGTCCAATCTGTACTCAAACAGCCTAAGAGACTATTATCGTACATAAATTACAGAACAAGGACGCAACATTGGATTCCAAACCTAAGTACGGAAGGGAGTGGATCTGAAATGATAGGGGATGATCAGGGAAAACCAGAGGCTATGGCAAACTATTTCAGGGCAGTTTTCACTCAGGAGCCTCTTCTAAACAAAGAACTAGACCCGAATACAAAGTCAACAAACCGTCTGCTCACCGTCGACTTTGATCGAAACGATGTACTTAAGGCTCTTAGCACTTTAGACACAGAAAAGTCAACAGGATCGGATGAACCACATGCCAAAATCCTGAGACAAGTTTCACAATATATTGCGACCCCACTGATTGTGATATTCACTGTCACTTGGCCAAGGTGTGTTACTTACGAACTGGAAGGATGCATTCGTCACTTCAATACACAAAGCAAAACCAAGACAACTTCCATCAAACTACTGATCTGTTAGCCTTACCATTGTCGTATATCCTTATACACAATCTTTTATATATTACTATCATTGAAGTAACTATAAATTCGGTGTTCATCTTGTTGCACTAATGAGGTATGGAAACTTGAACCGATGCGTATTTGTTCCTGGTCCTACGTTGTAGCTGACTGACTGATCAGTGTCGTAGTCAAAATATTGAAAATAATAGTCAAAAAGACCATAATGACACTCATGGAAACCAACAACTTGTTAAACAGTGCACAACATGGTTTCAGAAAAAGTTTATCTTGCACAACAAACCTTATAGCAAGGGAGCGATGGATAGTCTCTAGACAATGGAAAATCAGTGGATATTGTCTACATAGACCTCAGAAAAGCATTTGACAAGGCGCTTGTAAGTTGTAGTCAGAAATTAAGAAAAAAAAATTTTAGGTATTCCTCCTGGAAACCATTACTTAATGAAGTACCGCAAGGTTCTCTACTAGGTCCTTTACTTCTCATACTGTATGTAAATGAATTCCCAAGTGTAGTTGAGTCAACAATGTTACTATACGCTGATGTAAAATCCTGGTGAGAAATAACAGAAGACTCAAATGCATGCGCACTTCAGGCAGACTTAAATATTGTGATTAGTTGGTCTAAAGAATGGCTGATGCTTATCAACGCTGCAAAGTGCGTCTACATGCAATCTGCGGATACAAACGTAAATAGGTACAGCATAGGGGAAGTGCCCGTACTCGTGGTCCGGTCTCACAAGGATCTTGGGGTGACAGTGAGTAATGATCTTAAAATCACGGCCCACTTCTGGTAAGTTGCAGCTAAGGTGTTTAGAAACCTATAGGCTTTAAGACTGACATTCACCAAGTTAGATACTATCATGTTCACTACAGTATACACAACCTTAGTGAGAACTAAGCTTGAAAACTGCGTTCAGGCTGCAAGCCCCTGTTTAAAAGGTGACTCGGATATCCTGGAAAAGGTACAGAGAGCAGCTATCCGTGCAATATTAGAACTCCGGGGTTTACCATACAAAGAGCGGCTTGAAAAGCTACATCTTTTGAACTGTCCTATCGCACACTAAAAGGTGATCTGATTTTGATGTACAGAATACTAAGAAATGATTTCGGACCTAATATATCCTCTCTTTTCTTTCCCACTAGATCGGGACATCTCAAAGGACATAGTAGGCATGTAGAAAGACCAAGAGCGAACAAAATACCCGTGGCATACAGGTTCTCACACCGAGTCATCAATTTTTGGAACCTGTTACCCGAAGCAGTGGTGTCTGCACTTTCAATTGACTTATTCAAGAGAAGACTAGACACTCACAGAAGTATACTATAAAAAGAACGATATAGGCTGTATGCCTTCTGTCCTTACGACACAAAACTAAAATCCGATCTGAATCTGATTATTATTTCATATCTTAGCTACCTAAATTAAGTGTGGCTTATAGCCTCTTATGTGAACCTTTCTAGCTTTTAAATTGCCTATAGTGTTAGAAAAAGTCAACAAAATAAGACCGCCATTTATTCATTGTAAATGTTATTAAATAGTTAATAACTTTACCCCATCAACCGTCTCATTGACTTCCTGACTTATATTGTACGCATGTAAAGACAAAAACATAATTAAAACCCACTTTTTGGATTTCTAACTGCTTGTCACTGGATTGTTTCGTATAAATGGGAAGCTGTGAATCATTAGTTTGTCCGAATGAATTTTATCTACTAGGTAGTTTCCTCGAGTACTGTTCCACCTGCCAATTTTGGGTAGTATCATTAATTCAACATGTGATCATATTGTAGCCCAGGGACGTCAATGTAATTTGAAAGTTGTTTTATTATTATTGATATATATTTGCCTGAGTTGTTTATTCTTGTCAATTTCAAGATGTAAAACAAAACTCCTGAATACTAATCTTTCGAAATATTTACCGTGCCTTCGGATCAAATTGTTTGGATTACACAATCTTGATTTTTAGGTATGAAATTTATGCACCCAATTTGATTATTTTTTCACATTAAAACGAAAACAAGTCCAAAATGGTTTATTTGACCTAAAGGAGCTGATGGATTTATGGTCCACGACATTCCTACCTGTTTTATTCTATTTTCATGAAAGTAACAAAAATTCGAGAAGCATTTTGCCATGGTTTGTGGTCACCTACTAAGTCTGAATTTCTTTTTTCCCTTAACTGTCTTCCTCTGAACGAACAGCAAGTAGCTTTGCGTTTTGCCTACCAACGAGATGTACTTAGTTCTATGGTACGTTAATTTGTATTTGTACATAACTTAGTAGGTTGGAAAGTTACTTATCCGTGGAACAGCTGTACGATACCTTAAGATTTCTCCACATGATGTTAAACTAGAACGTTCTCCGGAAGGAAGGCCATATATTTTGGGTTATTCTGATGTGTTGGACTTCAATATTTCACACGGTGGCGACTTCACCATAATTGCTGCAACTCCTGTGGGACGATGTGGGGCTGATGTCATGCCTATAGAACTGCCAGGTAAGCTCCTTCTGTATTGTATTTTACTATTGTACACTTCGACATCTCTTGTTTTTTTGTGATATTCCGAATACTTAAAAAATTAGTAGTTGGATATTACCAATCAGACATCAAGAAAGAAACAACTGTTTAAAAAACCATACTGAGTGTAGAAATAAGAATTGAATTTGAATGAAGTTATTTGGTCTTACACAATATAATGGCTCCATATCTTCGCATTGTCATCGTATAATAACACGAAGCGATATTACCAGAGATTTCTCTCCTTTAAAACTCGTGTAGTTAATAATCTCGGGATATTTCTCTTTCCAAAAAGTTAATACTCAGGAACTATCCAAGATTCCAATAGTTTAAGTAGTTTCGCAACTAAATATTTACAAATACTTGAAACATACTTATTATTACTCCATAATAGTAACTCTATCATTCAGATGGTATATAATTGACTGAGTGATGTTCTTTAAATCAGCTAACTTACTGTAGTGGTGTTACTAGACTTTTGTAATTCTAATCTATACTTTCGCCTGAAATGTTGTTTTGTTTGTGAATCCCTGGTTAGCATTTCAAAGGTCCGTAAATGACTTCGTTTTGAAAATGAAGGACGTATTTTCCTCTACAGAAGTGAACCGTATTTTATCCTCTGGGTCAGAAGCCGAAAAAATGAGAAAATTTTATGAACACTGGGTAAGTAAAATTCCATCTCCAAGTAACACGTTTGATGCAGTTAGTACATTCCATGTTAATTGTCGTGTAGAACATGCATATTGTGTTTATTAGCAGCGTACGCTTATACACGGCTAGCCAACTTGCGAAATCCATTGGACATTAATTATGATGTTTTCTCGATTAATATTGGACCATGAGTTGTCGAAATGCATACCGTTTAAGCCTGTTGTCGCTTGGTTAACGGTATTTGGTATATCTTCCTGGTCTTAAAAAGACTGAATAAATACCCAGCTGAAGAGTTTTCTCATTATTGTTATCTAGTATATTTTAAAAGAATAGTAGGGCTTTTGTGTCATGACAAACGTACCTGCCCTAAAACGATTTGACGTCAAATAAGATATAATATTTGGTCAAGAATTGTAGAGAACAGTCGACCTCTGCACTATCGATAAAGACATTGAATAATTGAAAACTCATTGAAGACTGTTTTGGTGCCTAAGAAGATTTAGTATTACAACATAGTTACTCTGATCAAATTAGGGTCTTCACGCAACATGATTTCTTTAAAAAGTTAGGCTTTTCCAGTAACCTTATTTAAAACATCAAATGTCAGTCAGTCAGCTACAACGTAGGACCAGGCACATATGTGCATCGATCTAAGTTGCCATACCTCATTAGCACAACAAGATGAACACCAAATTCATAGAAGTAGTTAATTCAGTGGTAGTAATATATAAAAGAAAGATTGCATGTGAGGACATAGTACGGGAAGAAAGAATTAGTTAGAAAGAAAAATGTAAAGTGATTCTAATCTCATAGTTTAAAGGAAGACAAATAGTATATACACCTACGCCATTGTGATCGATTCTGAGCCATCAAAATGTTCCCGTTTCTTCTTTGTGCTTGTCATCTAATGACAAATTAGCGCTGAGACTTCACTCAGCGGTGATGTTTACAGATCAGTCATTCTAAATATACCTGTACTATTTATGAACTAAGCAGTTACGAATTCCAGCTACTCGTCTTAAGGGTATCAACCACTCCTCAATACGCCTAAATAATTCTTATGAACAATTAGAATAGGTTTAATTCGAAACGTGCCGATACCGAATTTTAACATGATACTTGCAGTTACTATAGTTCAGTTTATTGTTTCACATTACTCCCTTCTACCTCATATCTTTATTAATTGTTTCATTTCCACTCGATGCACATTTGTTTTAATTCCATATTTTTAATACACTGTTCAAAAATTATTGCTGTTGTTTTAACGTAACTTGGTCCGATTGTTTAATACTCAACTACCAATAGCTGAATCCAACTAATGTCATTCTGTTAAGCAAGAATAACAAAAGTTTTAACTCACTGTTCATTATTTCTTTCAGTGTTTTAAAGAAGCTTACGTTAAAGCTTTAGGATGTGGACTTCGTATCCCCTTAAAAACAATAGAATGCCAGTTTTCTGACGATGGCAATGAATTCTCGATTAGTAATGAGCTTACAAATCAGCCAGATAAAAATTGGGCCTTTGAAAAACATAACCTACCTGAAAACCATCTGGCGGTAGTCGCTTGGTTTGAAAACACATATGTGGCAAGTTCCTAAGTACTTTATGTTTACTATTTTCTTAGAGAATTATTGTTTACTAACAAACCAAGCGAACCATAGTTTTGCATTTTTATAATTATTGAACTTTAATGTGCCGACTATGCTTCACCTTTCCCAAAAAGTCAAAGTATTTACCTTTATTTTCAACTGAACTCTCTCGTTAATCTCATGTTACAATTCACCTATCACTAAGTACTTCAACTTTATTAAAGATTTCAAGATTTTCGCTTAGTTTTTTAAGCTGTCTTTATCCGGATGATGATGTCCGTTCACAATTTACATTAAATTTAAATCTTGTCGATCACAGAGAAATCTCTGTCTATCCATCCCAAAGGACAAATGGGACTGTTAGAGACCTAGATCTTGTTTTGTTATCTTTTTCACTCCGCTAGTACTTCCCCCTTTTGATCCATGAATAACAGCTTGAGTATATGATTTCGTCTAAAAGAAAATTTCGCTGAATTCTCTTTTCCTTGTTCTATGAATAAGACCTTCATTATTGAACAGTTTTCACTAGGTGACAGTTTTTATGATGACACAAAAAATGTGCTTTCTCATCGCTTCATATATGTGCAAATTATATGCACATGATATATGAGCGATCGTGCAATATTCCTGACCTTTGAAAAAGTGACTTTTGCTCAAAGCCCAGTACACATATTAATATTCGGTAGCTGAGATATGTCAACTTTAATCGTAAGCACTTCCTAACCGTACTTTATATTTAACAGCAGTGATGATTTTTTATGTTTAATATATATTTCCTTGTGGATGATTCTCTTTTTTGTAGGAGACCAAAACCAGTACTTCATTTTCCCAACTGACATTTGAACAGTTAGTGGACAAGTTAGCAGTCCTATCGCCTGTAGATAATACTGCTTGGGATCAATTTTTGAGGAAGCCTCATTCACCACCATCATCTCGTCAACGAATTCAAGTTAATCAATTTAGATTTAATTGATTGTAGAAATTTATTTAGTCATCAATTGCATGCTAATCATCGATTTTTAAGTATAAAGTATTTTATTTAAGGGAAAATTTTGTATATTTATGAAATAAAAATTTTACTGACCTACTCAGTTTAGCTTAGGTTTCACGAACCATTAAGGAAAATTGATTCGAAGATCGGCTTTAGGTAAATCATTGGACCATATTAAAAAATCGTCAGTGTAATCAGGTTTGATTTGGTCATCTGTTAGATATGATTCCCAAGCAGTTCCGAAAAAATGTACCAAAGTTGTAGTCAGCATAAGATAAATGAATTGATAGGGTACACATACAGTGTATCTTTGAAAAACATTGCGTGCCCAATGTGCAGGTAAACTTAACTCTAACATTGTCGAATTTCCTGCAATAGGTAGTTTTTCAATGAAGCGATTTGGATCAAATACTCTGTGAGGTTGATATTTGGTAGGCCCTTCTCCAGTCTCATCAGCAGCCCATAAATCTGGATCTGAGTAGTACGAAGGCTCATCAAAAAGCACTAGTTCTCCTTCAGCAATGTCTTGGTTTAGTATTTCCCCATCGCGGAGGGCTTGACGCAAAGAACCAAAAGGCCAACCAGGTACACATAAACGCAGCGTCTCTTGAATTAAGGCCTTTGTCCAAACCAAACATTTTGTGTGCTCCAAAGACATGCAAAGATATGACTGAAAGGGAAAATACTTTGGCGATTACCTTTTAAAAATCGCACGGAGCTAAATTACCAAAGCGTTAATGAAATCTACTTACGGTGTATTACAAAGCACCACCTAACATTGGTCTTGATCTTTCTCAAAGATCACCGTAAGAGGATACAAAGTTTTTTCTTAATAATCATTTGGATTAGATACAAATAGCGGAAACAGTTCTATTTTACTGAACCAAATGTCCTCACTATTACGAACAAACTTGAATCCAACCACACTAATCCAATCTAGTGAACAGGATCTGGTCTATTGTAATGGTGATTTCAAACTAATACTCATGGTTCTCACTAGTGTGTGTTTGTTATGATACTTTCCGTCGCCGTACTTGGATGTTTAAACATTTCATTTCATTTAGTTCGCATGAAAGGATTTTAAAGCATCGGCTAGTAAGTGGATCATCAAATTACTATTGTTTCACTAACATACTTGCACAGGTTGATAATTGGAGACATCGATAGAATCGGGGCACTTAAGAATCTTACCTTAAAATGTGGATTGGTCTACTATTGTCCCGTAATCTACCCCGATCCATTTAATTACTTTTGTCACTGGATCAAGAGGATATTGTGTTGTAATAGCCGGTAAGATCAGATATCATGTCGTCTTACAGATAAAATAAACTTTTCTGACAGATGAGATACCATTCTTTACGTTTGTAAATATGTGTGCAGTCGGAATAGTAAGCCTTTGGTGCATGTTTAGGACCATTCACGAAAATAAATCTTAACTTGACAATTACTAGGTTAAGATTCATTTTTAGTAAAACAGATTTAATTCTGTTTTGACTAAGTTGTAACAGCTATTACTTCCAAATGATATTTTGAAACATATACCAACCACATTCATTTGGCAATTTTAGTCGGTTGTACTCAGTATTATCAAAGGGACATTTTAGAAGCGGTCAGTAACTATCATCAATTCAATCTGATTCACCACAAAACACACATCACTCCTCATATGACAAGTTAAAACTTTAATATCCGGTTAACTTAGCTTAAAAGTCGAATCGCAAACTAACAAGTTTCTGTTCAAGATATGTAGAAAAAAGGTGCCCACTAAACTTATTATCAAGTAGACAACTTAAGTCCTCTCTAACTTTTAGTAATTTTATATTGGAAGTTCAAATGAAGTGCAAGACTGAATCTAAGTTCTCTTACCTGTCAATATTAAACAACTACACACGTCTCCAATGCTGGGGAGATTTCTACTCTCTTGTAAGCCCAGACCTCTATCATATACCACTGATATTCAAATATTGACCAATAAGCTATATTTTTATAGAAATTAGATGTACGGATTTTAGTGATCCAATCCTACCGACCAATAAGTCGGATGTATTTATCAAGCTAAGTGACATGCTCTTTGTGTTTATTAGTATGTTAAATTCTGTGAACCCTAAGGAAATTTCCTGTTTGATCTAATGTAAACCATAACGGCAAATCTTTCAGTGAATACTATCTTATCATCATCAATTCGTTTTTGCCTAAATTACTTGATATATGATCAAGAAATGAAAAATATCATCTAAGTAAATCCTGCAAAATTTAACTCACTAAAGGATGGCTGCATAATGACGCAGATCTTTGTGTTTTATGGTTATATTGGATTTCTAAAAATTGTTTACATTCTTTTCTTACATTATCTTGCCATTTTGGTTTAATAGCTAGAATCGTCAATAGAGTTTTTAAAGTCTTATTCATTGTATACCTAGTTATTAAACAACATTCACCAAGTAAATGAATAATATGTGTTAGTGTTAGGAATTCATTGGAACTTCCTTCCTCTTTCAAATAGTGATATGTATTAATGAGTTGTAGTAATAGATTTGTTGGTTTCTCGCTTCTTTGTAAATATTCCAGATTACCATCTGGATTGTTAGTATTTTCTTTTCTTTCTTCACTATTCAAAAATTTATCCAAATAATAATGAATTAAAGGATTTATAAGACTGTGAAACATAGTTATTAACTCATTCGTATTATGGGTTGATGGGTTGTTAAGAAATGGCTGTAAGATTGCTTTAAATACATTTGACTCTTCTATAAAGTTCCCATGTGTATGTAAGGATTCCAGTGAGATTATGCACTTTCTTAGATCTAGAATGAATTTTTCTCTTCCAAAACGAAATGTATTGTCTGAGGCAGTTTCGCAAAAAATTTCTGATGGACCGAAAAAAAAAACTTCTGAATATACACTACATATCCATATGTCTAAACGTTTTTCAAATCTTGCACAGTTGTTAGTACTAACTAATATAGAGCCAAGTAATTGAGGATCAGCTCCTAAATGGCCGGTACGCTCGAATATTTTAATTGGTAAACTATTGAACGCCAACAACACCAACTCAATCAATTCAGATCTAAACTGTAAAGTATCATCAGCAATCATTAGGCCACACCATTTTCGTCTAAATGATTCTAAAGAAAAAGGAAACATGAAATTTAAAGCAATGTTCATATCTGTTGATTTCCTTTTGTTTCTGGAGTAAAATACATAATTTAAATTTAATTGGTAGTAGAATTTATAACGAGTTTCCTACTACATAAGGCTTTTTAACCAGATCTCAGGTTTAGATTCACACACTGTTTGTCGCTTTTTTCATTGGTATACACGCAGAAATTCTGTACGATTGTGTTGAGCTATAGCTCAAGGATTCAAACACTAGACTCTTATCAAATCAGTTAAATGTCTTAAACTGACCAAGAGTTAAACTTCTAACTTACAGTTGTTACGTAAGAAATTACGCTTATACCCCAGTAGAGAAATCTGGGTGTAATTACAGGGTTCTATTACATACAGTAAATAAGAATCAACATGGGATTTGGTGCGAATCTACTTCTGTCCAAATCATCATATCACAGCGCAAAGATGAGATTAGCTTAACCACATATCACACTCCGAATTCTTAGTATTATCTAAACCCTTGATCCCCAAACTTTCTTCTAAAATCTCATTGCATAAACTTCCCGAACAAATTTGTTCACCTAGCAGCAGATTACTTTCCTGATTAAAAGTAATACAAACATATCAAGTTAATTTGGATGCTAGCTGTTTATAAATACACCCTTAGTGCCTACTCTTTATGTACACACCAGATACCTACATGGTTTTCATTCTCAAGAAAAGTCTTTAAGTTTAACTTATTTAAATATTCATTTAAAACTTAAAAACGTTTACTATTCGTGACACTTCACTCATATATATATATATATTTGAGCAGAGCCGAAACCAGAAGCTTGAGATCTCTTACTTACTTACTCCTGTTACTCCTAATGCAGCATAGGCCGCCGACCAGCATTCTCCAATCCACTCTGTCCTGGGCCTTGTTTTCTAGTTCCATCCAATTCTTGTTCATTTTTCTCATGTCTATTTCCATTTCTCGGCGTAATGTGTTCTTTGGTCTTCCTCTCCTCCTCCTTTGGCGTTGAGGATTCCATCTGAGGGCTTGTCTTGTGATGCAGTTGGGAGCTTTCCTCAATGTGTGTCCTATCCACTTCCAGCGCTTCTTCCTCCGCTGGGATCTGGTTTGTTCTCTCCCACAGTAGGTCGTTGTTAATAGTGTCCGGCCAATGGATCTGAAGTATTTTGCGTAGACAATTGTTAATAAATACCTGTATTTTCTGGATGATGGCTTTTGTAGTTCTCCAGGTTTCTGCCCCATACAGTAGAACTGTCTTGACATTTGTATTGAAAATCCTGACCTTGGTGTTGGTTGACAGTTGCTTTGAGTTCCTGATGTTCCTCAGTTGTAAATATGCTGCTCTTGCTTTGCCGATCCGCGCCTTCACATCTGCATCAGATCCACCCTGTTCATCAATCATGCTGCCCAAATATGTAAAGGCTTTTACATCTTCCAAATCTTCTCCCTCAATTGTGATTAGATTGGTGCATGTTGTGTTGTATCGGAGAATCTTGCTTTTCCCTTTGTGTATATTGAGACCTACTGCTGCTGCCACACTGTTCGTCTTCTGCATTTGTTGTTGCGTTTGGGATAGAAGGGCCAGATCATCTGCGAAGTCTAGACCGTCTAACTGCACCCTAGATGTCCACTGTATCCCGTGCTTCCCTTCAGATGTTGACATCTTCATGATCCAGTCGATCACCAGGAGAAAGGGTGAGAGTAAGCAACCTTGCCTAACACCGGTCTTCACTTCGAACGACTTTGTCAACTGTCCTCCATGCGCGATTTCGCAGTGTAATCCATCATATGAGTTCTGTATGATATTGACTATCTTCTGAGGCACGCCGTAGTGTCGAAGAAGCTTCCATAGTGTTGTTCTGTCCACGCTATCAATTTGCTTTTCGTAGTCAATGAAGTTGATGTAGAGTGATGAATTCCATTCAATTGATTGTTCCACAATGATCCGTAGAGTTGCTATTTGGTCTGTACACGATCTATCCTTAAGGAATCCAGCCTGTTGGTCACGAAGTTGGGCGTGTACGCAGTCCTTCATCCTGTTTAACATTACCCTGTTGAAGACTTTTCCCGGTTTTGAAAGAAGAGTGATGCCCCTGTAGTTATCACACTTGCTGAGATCGCCTTCGGTATTTTTATCGGAAGTCCTTCTTTCCAGTCTGTTGGTACTTGTTCCTCATCCCAAATCTTATTGAAGAGAATGTGGAGTATACTTGCAGTTATCACTACGTCTGCTGTTAGTGCCTCTGCTGGGATGTTGTCCGGTCCTGCTGCTTTGCCACTCTTGATTTGTCTGATGGCCATGCTGATTTCTTCAATTGTTGGTGGGCCAACATTGATTGGGAGGTCCGTGGGTGCTGCTTCGATGTTGGGTGGGTTCAGTGGAGCTGGGCGATTCAAGAGTTCTTTGAAGTGTTCTACCCACCTGTTTTGTTGCTCTTTAATGTTGGTGATTGCCTCGCCTTCCTTGCTTTTCACTGGTCGTTCTGGTTTGCGGCGATATCCAGAGTTTCTTTGTCGTGTCATACAATTGTCCCATGTCTCCTTCTCTTGCCGTCATTGCTAGATCTTCCACATATTTACGTTTGTCGGTCCTGATGCTCCTCTTGACCTGCTTGTTTACTTCTGTGTATTCAGCTTGTGCCTTGGCTTTTTCTGCTGTTGTTCGACTGGTGTTGATTGCTGCCTTCTTGTCCCTCCTTTCTAGAATCTTATCCAGTGTACCAACAGTGATCCATTCCTTGTGGTGGTGCTCCTTGTGACCCAGGACCTCATGACATGTTGAAGTGATTGCCTCTTTGATCCCCTTCCAGTTGCTCCCGATAGTAGTTCCTTCTGCATTGAGTAGATCATGAAAGTCTTGGAACTTGTTGCTGAGGTATATCTTGAATTTGTTGAGTTTTTTAGTATCCTGAAGAAAGGCCGTATTGAACTTTTGTGATATTGTCCGCCCCGTTGTCCAGTACTTCTTGAGTTTCAATTTCATCTTGGCGACCAGCAAGTGATGGTCTGATGCTATATCAGCTCCTCTCTTGGTTCTCATGTCTTCCATCGTCCTCCTGAACTTTTTGTTGATGCAGATATGGTCGATTTGATTTTGTGTAGTGTGATCCAGGGAAGTCCATGTGGTTTTGTGTATGCGTTTATGTGGGAATATGGTGCCGCCAATGACCAGCTTATTGAAGGCACATAGGTTTGCAAATCTCTCACCATTTTCGTTTCTTTCTCCCAGTCCGTGTCGTCCCATGATGTTTTCATATCCAGTGTTGTCCGTTCCAACCTTGGCATTGAAATCTCCCATCAGAATGGTCAGGTCCTTTGTTGGGCACTTCTCGATGATTGACTGCAGCCTATTGTAGAATTGGTCTTTACCTTCTTCATTGTAGTCGTCGGTAGGCTCATAGCATTGAATGATGTTCATTGAAACGCCCTCTTTCTTTGTTTTGAAGGAGGCTTTGATGATCCTTGGTCCATGAGATTCCCATCCCATAAGCGCATTTTGCGCTTGTTTAGACAGCATCAATGCAACTCTTTGTGTATGTGGGGCATCTTCCTCTTCATGGCCGGAGTATAACAGGAGCTCTCCTGAAGTTAGTCGTTGTTGTCCAACTTGCGTCCAACGTGTTTCACTGATCCTATGCACCTCTAGGTTGTATCTTCTCATTTCTGAAGCAACTTGGAAGGCTCTCCCGGTGTCTAACATTGTACGAGTATTCCATGTACCTAAATAAATGGTTGCCTTGGTTTTCAGAAGGGGTATCGGCCTCGTAACTTCCGAAGGAGTTCGGCTTTCATCATGAGGCGTCATGGTTCTTCTAAATGAAGACCTGATTCCCAGGGCAGAGTTTAAAAGGTTCGAGTAATTTTTTCTGGTTGGCGTTTTTTTAGCGAGTTAGTTTTCTCCGGGATGGGGTCGCTAACCACATGCTTGACCCTCCTCCTTTATCCGGGGTTGGGACCGGCAGTAGCCCCCGGAGGGACTCAGTTTTAGCTCTCCATTAATCGGCTCTTTAGGGGCTTTTCACTATTTTTCAATGATTAACTAAGCAGTTAATTTTAAGGATAATCTCTATGAAGAAGTGACATCATTTTCAGCATTAAGTTCATTGTCATATCTTTTAATCGATACCAAATATATTTAAATAGCACAATCCCATACCCAAGAACACGTAATCGGCCTTAAGATATTTACTGTGTATTAGAGGCACCACTCAGTTGTGTAACACTCAAGTGCAATGGTTTGCTACTCCGTGATTCAAGAGCTGAAAACTGAATGCTAAAATCAATAGTGTAAACTAAATAGGGACTGAGATGTGGGTGTAATAGGTTTTCTACATATACTTACCATATAATCCATCCTAAAAAGTTATCTTCAGTTTTGTGAATACTCGTCCTATTTAGTACATATCAAAAGCAACTAATTCAGTTACAATAAATACCGTGTTAGTATTTTGATCAATTTGGAGTTATATATATCTAGAGACGAATTATTGCTACTAGACCGGTGTTATTGTTGATCTACCCATATTTGCACAGAAATAACAAGACCTAGTTTAAGTAACTTATTTAGTTAGTTTGTTAGCCGTGAAAAATGCTAGTAAGAAACCAATTCCGATATTGTGGCAAAAATACCTGACATTTCCAGATTAAAACTCTCTGGTGATAGCATAATTCCAATGGTTGTCGACAGAAACAGTGTACTGTCATATTTCCTCACCCAAACTTAATCGAGAAGTGATAACCATTTATCAGCATGCTTTACACTGGCCCAAATAACCATTTTTCATTAAAAAAGAAAACAAATACAATACTTTGATGAAATGTAAGCAACAAACTGAATGGTAAATAATGGATGTGATTTGGTCACTTCATTGAATGGATGTCGTCTAAGTCATCTGCTATCAAGATCATAAACGTTCCAGTTATTCGGGTACTGTACTTATTCCATGTTGGACTTATGAATAACTTCAATATTCAATATATGACTACCACTTTAGTATCACTATAATCTATCACAATGGGTGATGAAAACTGTAAACACATTCAAACTGTTTTTCCTGCCAATAAGACTAATAAATTAGAAGATTCAAAAAAATACAAAAATGATTCCCCTGTTGTTTCCAAATAAGTGACTCTTGCGATTCCAACAGGCTAAATGAGAATCATGAAATCTCTTTTGTCTTCATTTGCTACAAATTCGGAATATAATATGAAAATAAAAATTACGAACGAATATTCCAACTGACTTGTTTAACATTCTCCGCAATCTACAAGAAATATTTAAACCCAATTTCTAAATTAAATAGATGTATCAATTCCTGGTAGCCGATCTTTCAACAAAATCTCCATTAGGATTGTTAACTTTTGCCTAAGTTTCTTTACATGAACTGCCAAACAGTTTCTTCTTACAACACAACAGCAGACTTTTAACATTACTGATCTATTACCATCTTTCTTAGGACTTTAATAGAAGTTATTTAGACTTTATGCGCCATAGTTTGGTTGACACATGTGTTACGTAGGCTGTTGAGCAGACGTTTTGAGTTCGCTAAATAATTATTTTAACCCACTGGCAGTTATCATTATCTTTTCTGACAAACAACGTTGTTCACTTTAGTAAACAGGTAAGTCAAACATTAAACAAGCAGTTGATATTTTGAAATAAAATGAGGGGGAAAGCAATTAACAAATTCATTATCTTAAACTTACTTGGGGCTGAGGAATAGTGTAGATCTAACAAAGGAAACTGATTGTAAAGAGTGATTACTTTCCAATCTTCAACAAAAAGAACCTTTTGTTTATTTAAGTAACCCCTTACCAGGGGAAACTTTTGTCTCCTAGATGCATAGAATGATGTCAAGCTGAACGATCCATTTTTGCATAGATCGTTGAAACTGTTAAAACGTAAACGCTTATCTATCGGCGGATTATTATAATGCTTCAAATTTTTAATTGGGGAATCACAGTTACTTACTCTTTTTGAAATACGCCACGCTATTAAGAATAAAAAGACTAGAAAAGACAGTACGGTCGATACAATTTTTAGTGTTAAGTCCAGCGACCGACTTTCAGTGAATAAACCCTTATAAGTATATAATCGGGGCGGAGGTTCCATCAATTCTGAAATAAAACAAAAACGGTAACTGAAAGGATGTCTTCATTTAATCAATAAAATATTCTGCACACAGATCTGGCACGAAAGGACAATGTGATCAATTGGAAGTATGGGGAATTTCAGACTACCTTTTACAAACAAAATATTATTTATGAGACAAATAAGATTATGCATAACAATCATTATTAAAATACAATTTAAGCATAAAACCACTCTGAACCCATTAACAATTCTGCCGATATAAATTATATTAGCAATCTCAGACCGCTACCCTGATGACTAATTTATCATGGTAATTAAAATTGCCCAAAAGAAATTTGAGGTATCGGTAAACTGTTGATTAAAATTGTTTCAAATCTTGCTGTATTTATTATAACCGCATGAGCATTCACCGCTGGTGCTATTTAAGCTAACGAGTAACAAGTCGGAAAAGTTGAATAATGAACTAGAGCAAATACATGTTACTTTTTTAAGTGATTGTTTACGTGCATGCACTACTTTGTTAAGATATGATATCAATCCATCAGTATTTTCTAATTTTTCGACGACTGTTTAGCTAAAATTGCTCTCTTCTATAAACTTTACAAATACATTATCTTATTCGCAGAAGTGGGTCAATAATTAAAACACAATCATGTTAATAATGTACCTAGTGAAGTTTAGCATCACTTCGACCCTCAGATACAAACTATTAGTCTCCATTTGAAGTGAATTACAATGTTGTACTTTCCAAACATGCAAAACGCCGTACCAATAAATATTCAGGAATTTTCTTGTTGGACATTTTCAAATACAGTTTGTTAGTGGGAACTCGAAATTAAAATCGCACATTGGTTCAAAGTGGTGTTCGTTTAACTGACCTTCAATGCGTACATTATTGAATAAATTAATTCACCATGGTCTTCATTCGTTCAACTTAATATTTGCTTTCAAAAAGTCTATGTGACATTCGTTTAGTTTAAAATGAGCTATAAAATTATATCGCGAATCAAGTACATTTAATAGACACTATATGTTGTCACTCAGTCACAGTACAAGATATTATTGATCGATATTTTTGTGTCAATTAGGTGCTGTTATTAGCTCAACCATAGTTTCCTTATAATTTATTTTTTATCAAAATCAATACAAAAAACCTATAATTCCCTATTGTATTGTAGCTTCCGTCACCTTTGACAAATGCAAAAGCCCTACTGTCATCAGATACATCAGGCATAATATACAATAATAATGATATATTTAGTATCTTCAACTCATCAGGTATACCAAAAAGTATATTATCAGTTTCCAAAAGGCGTTTATCCTAAGCTCCCTTCATTTCTCAAGAAAAATGCAAATAATCACCAACACTACAATAGAAAATGATATTTGTTGATGAAAAAACAGCTTTAGTCTTAAACGCAGCTTTTTATAGAAGAATTACTTAAAAATATGTCAACTAATATATGTTTGTCGACTCACAATCATACGTTGTGATGCTCTCACTTTTGTGCAGACCATAAAAAATAAAGTTTTTAAAAATTTAAAATGTGCCGTAACGAGCCTTTACCATTGGCAAAAATGAGTTCAGCAAGCTTATTCGGAATAAGTTCGTTTTCTTCCTAGCAAGCTAGCAACAGCTATCTGTACCGTTTCAATAATTTTCTCAAGTAATTCATGACTTAAATCTAGCAAAAGTGTAATCACAGGAAATTTTGATTAAAGTTTACGAAAATGCCGATCTAAAACATTTGCGCCTTTGTAGTTAAATGGATTAGACTACATTTATATGATCTAGACAGTAACAATTATTCCGAGAAAAAATAGTGCAAGTCTCCAACGAGTCACCGTATTTTGTTAGGAATTTTGAAATATATGTGATAGAAACCACCCAACTAACAAAATTAGTGTATCATTAGTAAACTGTACAACTAATGTGAGGTTAAAAATAGAACTAATATTAGAAAAACATAATAAAGGCACACAGGATGCAACCAGATTATAAAGCTATCAGTTTTGTAACCTAGTATAAGAGAAAGTGACTTAATAAATGATTTTCGTATTCATACGACTTGTAATGATTTTATATCTCCATGATCTATAACGCGTACCAACCCTGGGAGCTTTATTGCCACTACTAATCCGTCCCTTATATTAAGCGAATGAGATGCCACCGGAATATCTATCATCACCTTCCACGGTGTGGGCAACCGGGGAGTGATAACCGCCATCATACCTCTAACAGCACTCAAGACCACTGTATTCATAATCAACCTCCCTCTTCAATTCCTATTATTCCTCCTACATCGACTTCAAACTCTAAACTTCTTTTTTCGGCTTCCCCTTCAAGTGTCACTATAGCCAATGATTCTAGTGCTCAAAACACTGTCCCAGGTCTTCTGAAATTTCGCTCCGCACTACACATTGGAGCCTTCAATGTACGCACCCTATGTCAAATCGGTCAACAGGCTTCCTTGGCTAAAACCCTAGAGTCTCTTTCCATTGATGTATGCTGTGTCTCCGAAACACGCATACAGGATTCCAGTGTGGTCATTCACTTGACCTCACCTCGGCAAGACGGAGAGCCAACGAGATACACCCTCCGTGTATCTGGTGACCCGATGGCCAGCTCTCGTGGACTGGCAGGAGTAGGGATAGCACTAAGCATGAGGGCGGAACAAGCACTGTTAGAGAGAATCCCCGTCAACAGTCGTCTATGTGCTGTTCGGCTAAACGGCTCCGTAAGAACTCGGAAGGATAGGGACGCACGTCGTTGCATTTTTGTCGTTTCTGCCTACGCTCCCACTGACTGCAGTTCAGATGAAACGAAAGATGAATTTTACAGAAAGCTATTTGAACTTCTTCAGAAAGCTAAACGTTTAGACATAGTACTCGTAGCAGGTGACTTTAATGCCCAGATAGGTAGTTTAAACCAAACAGAAAGGCATTTAGGTGGATATTTTAGTATACCGGTACAGCGAACAGATAATGGTGGCCGTCTACTGCAACTGTGCTCAGACAACCGCTTATTTTTAGCAAACACAAATTTTGAGCATAAGGAGAGACATCATCTAACATGTCGACCCCCTACACCAAACCAACGATGGACTCAAATAGACCATATTGCCATCAGTCATCGTTGGAGAGGGTCGGTAGAAGATTGTCGCTCATTCTGGAGTACCTGCTTGGACTCCGACCATGCCCTAATACAGGCACGCATCTGCTTGCGCCTCACTGGACGCAAAAAAGCCACAGTAAAAAGACCCATTAGAACTGAGTTGAGTAACGAGAAAACCAAAAGTAGGTTCCAGGAACAACTGAGGTCACAATTAGGTAGTTCTGAAAACGAGGCTGACCCAGATGTTGCTTGGAAAGATATACAAACAGATGTGGAAACAGCAATGAAATCTATTAGTGACTTAAACCACAGAGTTACAAAGAACCAGTGGATTTCTTCAAAGTCTATCACACTGATGGATTCTCGCAAACTCGTCCCATCAGGTTCCGAACATGATGAAGAGCGACAACAAATCAGATCTAGGTTAAGAAAAAGTCTAAGAAACGACCGTGAGCAGTGGTGGGCAACGAAAGCAAAAGAGATGGAAAAGGAGGCGACTATAGGGAACACAAGACAGCTTTACAGACTAATAAAAGAAACTGGAACTAATAAATCAAGTGTAAGTGAGATTATTTCGGAAAAAGACGATACTCTCATCTGCTCCCAGTCCAGACGTTTAGAACGATGGGCGGAACATTTTAGGGAACAGTTCAGCTGGCCTTCAGCTACTCTACAACTACCCTCCATTCCCAGACAGTGTGAATGGAACATTGAAGTAGGTCCATCAACTCTAGCAGAAGTTCAAGAGGCTATAGTTATTCTGAAACGAGGAAGGCCAGCTGGTCCAGATGGATAGGCTCCGGAGGTCTTTAAGGATGGTGGTCCAATTTTAGCGACTAGGTTGGCTAATATTTTAGCTAAGATCTGGGAGTTAGACGTTATTCCATCTGACTGGTCGCAATCACTTATCGTTCCAATATATAAGAAAGAGTCAAAATCATCCTGTGACAACCACAGAGGGATTAGTTTGACTAATATAATATCTAAAATACTAGCCTCGTTAATTATCAGACGCTTAACTAAGACTCGTGAACTGCAAACACGAGAGAATCAAGCTGGCTTCAGACCTGGTCGTGGCTGCATCGACCACATATTCACCATTCGTCAGGTTCTAGAACATAGGCATACTTATCGGCGTCCGACAATGGTGGCCTTCCTTGGCTTAAAAGCAGCATTTGACTCGGTAGACCGCGAGATTCTGTGGCAGTGTCTGTCATTGAAAGGCGTGCCCCAGAAGTACATAAACCTTGTAAAGGCTCTTTACTCGAACACTACTAGTCAAGTCAGAGCTTATGGCGAACTGCCATCTACTTTTGCAACCTCAAGTGGTGTCCGTCAAGGCTGTCCACTTTCCCCATTTTTGTTTAACTTCATCATAGACCTACTGATGGAAATAACATTCTCGTCGACTGAATTCTCGGGTATTGATCTCCTGCCAGGAGGTCCACTTATCGACTTAGAATACGCAGATGATATAGTCCTGTTTGGTGAAGACGCTGAAAAAATGCAGTCTTCTGGTAGCACTAAGCAACAATGCCAGAATGTTTGGAATGCGCTTCTTTCCCTATAAATGCAAGTTGTTGCTTCAGGACTGGCCTGCGTCAACACCTGAACTAAGAAAAGAGGGTGAAGTAGTCGAAAGCGTTGACACCTTCACTTATCTTGGAAGTCTGATCAGCCCTAATGGGCTGGTATCGGACGAAATCTCAGCACGGATTCGAAAAGCTCGTTTAGCTTTTGCCAACTTACTTCACCTTTGGCGAAGGCGAGATATCCGTCTGTCAATAAAAGGACGAATATACTGCGCGACAGTCCGTTCTGTTTTACTTTACGACAGCGAAACATGGCCTTTAAGAGTAGAAGACACCCGTAAGCTACTAGTATTTGACCACAGATGCCTTAGAAATATTGCTGGCGTCTGTTGGGATCACTGGGTAAATAATAGTGAGGTTAGACGCAGGGTATTAGGTAATGATGGTAAATCAGTTGATGAGGTTGTTAATCTTCATCGACTGAGATGGTTGGGCCACGTGTTACGTATGCCTGAACACCAATTACCACGTCGTGCAATGCTAACGGGTGTTGGCGATGGTTGGAAGAGAATA